CTAATCGGACATACAAGTATTGTATTTTTTGTTAACTTTTTGTTATTTGTTGTTGATATAACACTTCTAAAAACTAGTTATATCTGATATAAATATATATTTAAGCGGTAATATAATTATAAATTAATACAAAATCGCCGCCTTACATCACGCATTGAAAAACGCCATGACTCGCCATGGCTCGTTAAGTTTGAGGCTTGGCCTTGCTGCCACGCCACGCCTCACGCCTTTTAGAACCTTGGTTCTTTCATACGTGACAATTTGATGTACAAGATTTTAAGGAATAATTAATTCTCTAAACTTTAAAAATCTGATTTTTTTCGACAATAAATATATTAATTCGTACATTCTAAAGGAATATGTTTATGATTATCTTGAAAAAAAAATATTAAATTCTGACAAAATATTATAAACATGTATTATCAAGATTAGTAATTTTTAATGAATACAAATTTCATATGAAAAGAATTTTAATATCTTAAAATCAGTAATTATATTCATTCTTAACAAAACAATTATGAACATACATAAATGACATTCATTCTAAAAGAATATAAGTAATAATGGTTAACAATTACATTTATTCTTTAAGAATAAAACTGAGAATGATTAAAAATCAAATCAAAACATTGAAATCTAAGTAAAATACTAATACATTATGATAGAATATAGTTACTAATCATTCTGATAGAAAAAATGTTAATCCATTCTGAACGAATATTGTTACCTTACTTTCCATTCTTCACCAGTCTTCAAACCGAGTTTCCATTCTTCACCAAGCTTCTTTTTCTTTACTTGATGTTATTTCTTTCATAATTTATAGTTTCATAAGAATTTATAACCTTCTTAAACTTTGCTTCGTTGTTGTACAAAAAAAAAACATTACAACTTGTTTAAGCATGAAAATTTCTAGTCGGAAACATAAGAATTTTGTTGAAACATTTAATATGCAAACCAAAAATTAATAATGGTTAAGCACGAGTGAAGGCCAAATTTAATGATGATTAGGAAAAGCTATACGAGTGATTGATTTGATACATGTGAACCTTTTGTTTCATGGCATAGTAATTAGGAGGATAGATCGTCTATTTACTACTATTTTTTTATTTGTTATGGTTAATGGTTATTTCATTCGTGACAATTTGATGTACAAGATTCATTATCAATTTTTTATTCACTGTTTTGCCACAAGGAAACTATTCAACGAAATGAGTTAATTACCGCCCGAAAACTTTTTGTCGCCGCCGCTTTGCGCGGGTACACTACTAGTGTGTATATATATGTATATATATATATATACACACACACGTTAATTAAGATAGAAAAGATGAGAGAATGTTTGTACGGTTAGCTAGGGTTAAAAAACTTTTTATTCTAGGTTAATTACATTCATTAGCTACTCTTTTTTTCTTTCTGTTCGAAACCAAAAGAAAAAAAATGTATGTCGAGAACAGAATGCTGAGAATGCCGAAGACAGAGATGAGTTGGAGGCGCAAAATGCCCATGACAGGGATAAGCCCTTGCGAGCCTAGCATTATAGGTGTCTGGTGTAAGAATAATATGAAAATGACATTACATGCTAGTAAGTTGTACTGTTTTTGAAAATTAAAGATGTGTTTAACTTATATTTCAATAATTATGCTGAGCTTTGTATTGGGCTAGTAGTAGTGTTTAACTTTTTATGTCTTGATATAAAAGTGACAGGAAATTTAAAGTATAAGGGTGAAAGTGTAAATAGTTCTTTCTAAATTATTATTTTCACGCACAGTGTCATCAACACGGCACAAAAGCTCGATGAAATGATGCTCAGAACAATAACAGCCGCTCTATTTCACCCCACCACCAAGTTGTACTATTTACCCCTCAAGGCTTTCCTCTCACACTCGCTTCACAAACCCCAGCGGTTAATAAATCGACAAAGCTACCCTCGAGCTGATAGAACAATCTTATCCATCAACACACCTCGTTCTCTATCATCTACAGCAGTTCCCCAAATTTCTAACGAAACGACTTCTGATTTGGACAGTAGTTACTTATCTTGCTCAATGAACAATAGCAAGCACCCTCTCAAAATTACGGTTCTTCTCGGTGGTGGCGTTGATAGCAATATCGCACTTCGCCTCCTCCACGCAGTCGGACACTCCTGCACCGCTTTCTACCTTAAAATCTGGTTCAAAGTGCATATGCTTTTCTTTTTATTGACATTACAATGCATATACGAATCAAATCATTCAGGTTTATGCCCAAAATGTCTGGTTTCCAATATAAACTTAATTTTGTTGGTTATCTAAAAATTCAAATTGTAAGGTTTTGCAAATTTCTCATCTCTTGTCGGATGATACATCTGCTCCAATTCAAGAGTTTAACATCGATTTTTGTGCTGGATGATATGATTGAAATGAATAAAAATATCCTCTCTTATTGTTTTCTTATTTTACTTTTACCTTTCTCTTTGTCTTTGAGCATTTTGAAGTTTGAAACCTATAATTCCTTAGCTAGTTCTGGTACAAAATTCGTTCGTAGGAAGATTTCCAAAACTTTTGGTATGAATGTCCATGGGAAGAGGATTTGAAGTACGCAAAAACTGTTTGCAATCAGGTTACTTTCTTCACCTTCATATTATCCATCTCATTTTATCTTCAGATTTCCGTTAGTGCTTAACTGGATTTGAAGGCTCAAAAACATTTCCCAGCTTTGTTTTAACAGATTAACTTCTCGATTCTATCACTCAAATCCCTGATTATGCGAACTTTTTCTTTGTTTCTTCCAAGTTTGATTAGTATTGAAGGAAATATATCAACATTTTTTTTTCAGGTTGATGTAGCACTAGAAGTTGTACACATGAATATTAGGATAAAGTGGTTAGTCACACCCCTCATGATGCATTTTCTCACATTCATCATCATCAATGGAACTTAGTGCTTACAAGTTACAATGTTGCAGGTATCTTACCTTATTGATGAGTATAAATGTGGGTGTACCTAACCCTGATGTTCTTTGCAATACAAGATTCAAATTTGGTGCGTAATCATATTGCTTGCTTTCATCTTTTATTGTTCTCATTTGTCATTAATTTCATGTTTATTTTATATCTGTAGGTGCGTTCATGGATGCCATCAGTAACATGGATTTTGAGTTTGTTTCTTTTGGACATTATGCAAAAGTTATTCACCCCCTTACAGATGAAACCAATGAGCTTTCATTTCTTGAGCAGTCCAAGGATATGGTAAAGATATGCTCTACTTATTTTCATTACCAACTTCCTGATACCTGTTAGTGAGGGATACATGTAGAATTTCTGGTGAAGGATCAGACTTACTTTCTTTCATATCTCTCACAAGCTCAGCTTAGAAGACTAGTGATTCCTCTTAGATGTATTCCAAAAGTAAGTAAGTTTGCTTTATGAAACACAAAACAGAATTCATGAATTTACTATTTAAACAATCAAATTATCAGGAAGAATTCTGAAGGTTGCCCGGAAATTTAATTTGCCTAACCAAGAAAGAAGGGATTCATAGGGAATATGATTTCTTGGGAGGGTATGTTTATGTTATGATTGTTAACTAAAATCCCAACTTTGGATATATATATATATATATATATATATATATATATATATATATATATATATATATATATATATATATATATATATATATATAGTGGAAATTTATGTAAGTATTATACAGATTAGGTTCAGTGAATTTGTTGGAAGACATATTGGTGAAAAAGAAGGTATATTATTAGATGCTGAAACATGTGATTTTGTAGGAGTCCACAGGGCTTCTGGTTTTACACAATTGGTCAACGCCAAGGTTTGGGTCTTGCAGGAGGACCATGGTAAACCTTTTATTATTATTATTATTATTATTATTATTATTATTATGTAAAAATATTTAAAGATTTATTTATTTATAAAAAAAACACATGTCATGTTTCCATGCAGGTATGTTGTTGAGAAAGATGTAAAAAAAATATGGTTTTTGTATCAAGAAACTATTATTCTGTTGATAAAAGAAGGCGATCATTTCGTGTTGGATCGTTTAGATGGATCAGCGGATATCCTCCTCACAACTTAAACCACTTAAGATGCAAGGTAAACATAAGCATTACATGACTTCAATTTTTCACTTAATAACAGGCATAATATGCATTTACACGTGTTTTTGACAGGTGCGGCATGGCCCGATTTTCTATGATTGCAGTTTGCATATAGAAGAAAAAGATGTTATTTTACACGTGTTTTTGACAGGTGCGGCATGGCCCGGTTTTCTATGATTGCAGTTTGCATATAGAAGAAAAAGATGTTATTGGCACCCTCCAATTACCTGAAGGTGATCAGGGTCGCAGCTGGCCCATTTGCAGCTTTTTATCAACAAGAGCTTTGTGTGGGGTCACGGGTAATTTTGGAATCATGGGATGATGCTAAGGGGTTTCCTGCTATGTTTCTGACAAGGCTTGCCATATTGCAAAAATGGAAGATAAATCTATGCTTGGTAAACCCATGCAGATCAAACCAAAACCTCAAGATTGTTTGAGGGATTCGATATGGTTGTGAGATTAGTTTAGGTCTTATAAATTCTATGTTAAATTAATTTAGAAAAGTGCAACATTTTTATTAGATGATTGATACATCTTCAAGGCAGTGGTTTTCTTGTATATGGTATAAGGAGTATATGTATCTGTTAATCAGTAACCATATAATGTTTGGTGAAGATGAATAGATAAAAAGGAAAAACATTCCACCTGTAATAGTTTGACTAGATATTTATGTTCAAATATAGTTATTTAATATTACACAAAACTTGAGTATCATTTAATTGTTATAAACTAACAACCTTAGTCTGGATTGAGTAAACAATACTTTTCACATAGTTTGATTAAAACAATAATTAAAAAAAATTAAAAAAATTAAACTACAAGTCCGAAGCAGGAGGTTTCTAATTGGAAGGGAAGAAGCTGTCAGAAAGCCCTTGTTGCTATTCTTTTTTTTTCTGCCCAACCAATAATCGACTCCCATTTTCATCTACCATTTTAAGCCTCTGACAAAAACACCATTAATAATCAATTGATGATGTTACTGCTTTTACTAAAATGATTATAATGAAATTAACTTGGATATTTTACGTGCTCTAGGCAACTTCTTGATGAAGTGTAAAGCATGCGTAATCACAATGCTAGGCACTTCAATCTCCTCATGTGTAGCATTTTCTTCTACGCAATTATTTGAAGTTTACAACCATCTATATGCAGGCGTCACAATCAAATAATCTTTGCATAAACTTATTACAGTTGACATTACACTTCCACTTGGAACAAAATTCATGTCTTTTGTGAGTGTGTATGTGTGGTAAGAATGAAACAGTAGAACTTACTAGCATGTAATGTCACTTTCATATCATTCTTACACAAGACACCTGTAATGCTAGGCTCGCAATGGCTCATCCCCGTCGTCGACATTCTCGGCATTCTGCGCCTCCAACTCATCTCTGTCTCCGACATTCTTAGCATTCAGTTCTCGACATACATTTCTTTTCTTTTGGTTTCGAACAGAAAGAAAGCGAGAGCAGCTAAGGAATGAAATTAACCTAGAAGAAAATATTTTTAACCCTAGCTAATCATACAGACCAGTTATTGTGTATCATTAGTAGTCCTTGCACAACAGGTTCTTGATCAATGGGCCAAAAGTGGTGGCATAAGTTACAACGATTATGCTGAGCTTTGTGATAAAAAAGAGGCTGTCTCCAAGGTGCACCAATCTCTAGGAATGGCAATTCTCGACACGACCCGCGACACGACACAAAATAAATGGGTTTGGGTTGAGTTTTTCAACCCGCAAGCCGCTAACCCGCCAACCCGTTTATTAAACGGGTCATATATGGGTTTCTCAAAAAATAAACGGGTTGACCCGCTAACCCGTTTATATTCTCAATAAAAAAATTATTTTATTTTTAAATGTATTTATATATCAAGTATTAATATTTAATAAGTATTATATAATATATACCATTGATTCATAGACCATTTGACTATCTTGACATTTTGACTCGTGGTGGATGGTCTAAGGTCGTAAGCCGTAACCTCTAAGGCTAAGTCTGTAACATGTTTCTATAAATGTTTTTAATTTTCATTTGGATGTTTATGTGACAACCCAAAATTTATTCCGTCAATGTAACCCACTTCCGTTAATAAAATTTATTTTTATTATTATTAAGTTTTCCGTTAACTTTTAAGTTAAGTAAATTCATTTGGGTTATTGTCGTAATTTCATACGTGACGGAAAACGATAAATCACGCGAAATACCCCATTTGCGGTTAGTATTTGGTGGACCCCCCACCCAGGCCGTAAACTCAACCCTATATAAGGGTTGAGTGGTCTTCATTCCAACCTTTTTCACACTCTAGAACTTTCTCTCTCTACTCCCTCTCTACAAAAGTTGGAATTTGATCAAGAAAACACCCTTTCAAGCTTCACAACAGTAAGTAAACCCTCCTAACTTGTTGTTTAGCTTGGCATACATGCAAATCTATGGTTTAAACTCTCAAAAACCCCAAGAACATGAGTTTACGGTTTGGGAACATCCCAAAACCGTAAACACCCTAAAAGGGGGGTTTTGATGCCCCAAAACCCTTCCAATGCTTGGCTAATGACCTAGAAACTTGCATGAATGATCTTAGAACCCCAAAACATGAAAAGAAAGGAGTAAACATGAGTTTACGGTTGGGGAATATCCCAAAACCGTAAACACCTTCTAAGGGTGTTAAAATGCCCTTAACACCTTCTATGACTTGAATGGGTGGCTAGAACCTTGTATGCTTACCCTAGAAGCACCAAACCATGAAAGAAAGTGACAAACATGAGTTTACGGCCGTAAACTCATGTGTTTACGACCGTAAACTCCCCAAAGAGGGACTCAGAAACCGTAAACTCCAAATAAGGGCCATTTCAAGCTCCAATCACTTCCATAGCCCTTGATTCGAGTCTAGCATAAGTCCTTGAGTAGTTTAAGACCTTTGAGCACCCAAACCCATCATTCCCATGAGTTTGCGGCCGTAAACTCATGGGGGATATGGTCCCTCAACCGTAAACACCCCTAAGGACCACCACTTGAAGAGTAAACTCCATAATGAGGCCATACACTCCTTAGATGCAACCCGTATCACCCCTAACACTTGAAATAAAGTGTTTTCACGCATTAGAGTGTATTTACTTACTTAATTAGTGATTAAATAACTAATTAGATACAATTATGTATCACTTCATGTTACATAGGATCCTCGCGTGTGTTCAAGTCCTCACTTAACACCTAACCTTCCTACCCGACACTTCCATCCATTCACTGCAGGTGAGTTCATACCCCTACACTTTTCCGAGTTTTTCATGTTTTCAGGGGGGGGGAATACAAGCAAAACATAAAGGTTTTCATAATTTAAAAACTGATGCAATTACAATGATTTTCTATCAAACGTTTAGATACAATTATCCCTTTTGTATTATGCGGAGCATAAGGGATGTTTTCAATTCATAATTGCATAGTTTTCGAAACCATACCCGAACGTAACAACCAATCAAACTATAATAGGTATAGTTTGGGATTTCATTATCAGTTTTACAGATTCAAACCTTATGCAGGTCAATCATATAAACTATGTCAGATTTAGTTTATCCATTATTACGAATACAAAACTAGAGTATCAAGTTAAATAATTATTTTATGTTTAATTATTTATACTCTATACCGTTACAAACGATTTCGAACTCGAGAACAACCAAACGACACGTAAACTAGTTAATACAGGATTGTGAGACTATCTTCGTTTTACCCCTCGGGTTACCAATAAATCCTCACCGGTAGTATAACCAGAGTCTCCTAGAGGGAGAACATGAAATTTGTGAATAGATCTATTCGGGACCGACAATCCCACACCTGAACTGCTAGCTACAGTTAGGCGGGCACGCCTGGGGTGACAAATTTTGGAATCGTGCGACGCCTGAAGAACGTCAAGGAGGTCATCAATCATATTAGTATGGTTATACAACTCACAATAAGTATAAACTAATCTTTGTTTACGAGATTTCTTTCTTCCTTCTATGGTTTTATTTTAAGTAATAAAACTACTATACATACTGGTGGTACAGGGTTTTCCGAACAATCATACATTACATACTGGTGGTAACCAGGGTTTTCCGAACAATCATACTATACATACTGGTGGTAACCAGGGTTTTCCGAACAATCATACATTACATACTGGTGGTCAGGGTTTTCCGAACAATCATACAATACATACTGGTGGTAACCAGGGTTTCCGAACGATCATACATTACATACCGGTGGTATCCAGGGTTTTCAAACAGAACGTATTTTTCATATAGAAAACCACAAACATGTTAGAAAATATTGGATTTTCTTGGTAAGCATGCATACATATTTCAGAACTTGGTAACAACGATCTTCGATACAAACGATATTTACTTATAAATGAAAGAGAACGTTTATACAAATTCAGTGACTAGTTTTCAATACAAAAACATGCTTATGAACTCACCAGCTTTATGCTGATATTTCTAAAACTGCTTGTATTCTCAGGTTCACGTTAGACAGGTATCTCGCTTACTTTTGGGGAAGACGGTTGTGACAACCCGAAATTTATTCCGTCAATGTAACCCACTTTCGTTAATAAAATTTATTTTTATTATTATTAAGTTTTCCGTTAACTTTTAAGTTACGTTAATTCATTTGGGTTATTGTCGTAATTTCATACGTGATGGAAAACGATAAATCACGCGAAATACCCCATTTGCGGTTAGTGTTTGGTGGACCCCCACCCAGGCCGAAAACTCAACCCTATATAAGGGTTGAGTAGTCTTCAATTCAACCTTTTTCACACCATAGAGCTTTCTCTTTCTACTCTCTCTCTACAAACGTTGGATTTTGATCAAGAAAACACCCTTTCAAGCTTCATAACTGTAAGTAAACCTCCCTAGCTTGTTGTTTAGCCTAACATACTTGCAAATTCGTGGTTTAACCACCCAAAAACCCCAAGAACATAAGTTTACGGTTTGGGAACATCCCAAAACCGTAAACACCCTAAAAAGGGGTTTTGATGCCCCAAAACCCTTCCAATGCTTGGCTAATGACCTAGAAACTTGCATGAATGATCTTAGAACCCCAAAACAAGAAAAGCAAGGAGTAAACATGAGTTTATGGTTGGGGAATATCCCAAAACCGTAAACACCTTCTAAGGGTGTTAAAATGCCCTTAACACCTTCTATGACTTAAATGAGTGGCTAGAACCATGTATGCTTACCCTAGAAGCACCAAAACATGCAAGAAAGTGACAAACATGAGTTTACGGCCGTAAACTCATGTGTTTACGACCGTAAACTCCCCAAAGAGGGATTCAAAAACCGTAAACTCCATAAAGGGTCCATTTCAAGCCTCAATCACTTCCATAGCCTTGATTCAACCCTAGGACCCTTCCTCTCTTATTAGTTTCTTATTTTACTTTTACCTTTCTCTTTGTCTTTGAGCATTTGTAGTTTGAAACCTATAATTCCTTAGCTAGTTCTGGTACTGAATTCGTTCATAGGAAGATTTCTAGAACTTTTGGTCTGAATGTCCATGGGAAGAGGATTTGAAGTACGCAAAAGCTGTTTGCAATCAGGTTGCTTTCTTCACCTTCATATTATCCATCTCATTTTATCTTCAGATTTCCGTTAGTGCTTAACTGGAATTGAAGGCTCAAAAACACTTTTCCGCTTTGTTTTAACAAATTAACTTCTCGATTCTATCACTCAAGTCCCTTATTATGTGATTTTTTTTCTTTGTTTCTTCCAAGTTTGATTAGTATTGAAGGAAATATATCAACATTTGTTTTTTTTCAGGTTGATGTAGCACTGGAAGTTGTACATCTGACAGATGAATATTGGGACAAAGTGGTTATTCTTACCCCTCTTGATGCATTTTCTCACATTCATCATCATCAATGGAACTTATTGCTTACAAGTTACAATGTTGCAGGTTTCTTACCTTATTGATGAGTATAAATGTGGGCGTACACCTAACCCTGTTGTTCTTTGCAATACAAGAATCAAATTTGGTGCGTAATCATATTGCGTGCTTTCATCTTTTATTGTTCTCATTTGTCATTAATTTTATTTTTATTTTATATCTGTAGGTGCGTTCATGGATACCATCAGTAACATGAATTTTGAGTTTGTTGCTTCCGGACATTATGCAAAATTTATTCACCCCTTTACAGATGAAACCAATGAGCTTTCATTTCTTCAGTTGTCAAAGGATATGGTAAAGATATGCTCTACTTATTTTCATTACCAACTTCCTGATACCTGTCAGTGAGGGATACATGTTAGAATTTCAGGTGAAGGATGAGACCTACTTTCTTTCATATCTCTCTCAAGCTCAGCTTAAATGACTAGTGCTTCCTCTTGGATGTATTCCAAAAGTAAGTAAGTTTGCTTTATGAAACACAAAACAGAATTCATGAATTTACTATTTAAACCAATCAAATTATCTGGATGAAGTCCGAAGGCTTGCCCGAAAATTTGATTTTCTTAACAAAGAAAGAAGGGATTCACAGGGAATATGCTTTCTTGGGAAGGTATGTTTATGTTATGTTTGTTAACAAAAATCCCAACTTTGGAGATGATATACATATATATATATATATATATATATATATATATATATATATATATATATATATATATATATATATATTAAGTGGAATTTATGTAAGTATTATACTGATTTGGTTTAGTGAATTCGTTGGAAAACATATTGGTGAAAAAGAAGGTATATTATTAGATGCTGAAAGAGGGGATTTTTTAAGAGTCCACAGAAGTCTGGTTTTACACAATTGGTCAACACCAAGGTTTGGGTCTTGCAGGAGGACCATGGTAAACCTTTCATTATTATTATTATTATTATTATTATTATTATTATTATTATTATTATTATTATGTAAAAATCTTTAAAGATTTATTTATTTATAAAAAAAATACATGTCATGTTTCCATGCAGGTATGTTGTTTAGAAAGATGTAAAAAAATAATATGATTTTTGTATCAAGAAACTATTATTCTGTTGATAAAAGAAGGCGATCATTTCGTGTTGGATCCTTTAGATGGATCAGCGGATATCCTCCTCAAAACTTAAACCGCTTAAGATGCAAGGTAAACATAAACATTACATGACTTTAATTTTTAACTTAATAACAGACTAAATATACATTTACACGTGTTTTTGACAGGTTCGGCATGGCCTGGTTTTCTATGATTACAGTTTGCATATAAAAGAAAAAGATGGTATTGGCACCATCCAATTACCTGAAGGTGACGAGGGTCTTGCAGCTGGCCCATTTGCAGCTTTTTAATAACAAGAGCTTTGTGTCGGGTCATGGGTAATTTTGCAATCATGGGATGATGCTAAGGGGTTTCATGTTTCTGTGTTTCTGTTTTTGACAAGGCTCGTCATATTGCAAAAATAGAAGATAAATCTAAGCTTGGTAAACCCATGCAGATTAAACCAAAACCTCAAGATTGTTTGAGGGATTCGATATGGTTGTGAGATTAGTTTAGGTCTTATAAATTCTATGTTAAATTAATTTACAAAAGGGCAACCTTTTTAATAGATGATTGATACATCTTCAAGGCAGTGGTTTTCTTGTATATGGTATAAGGAGTATATGTATTTGTTAATCAGTAACCATATAATGTTTGGTGAAGATGAATAAATAAAAAGGAAAAACATTCCACCTGTAATAGTTTGACTAGATATTTATGTTCAAATATATTTATTTAATATTACAGAAAACTTGAGTATCATTTAATTGTTATAAACTAACAACCTTAGTCTGGATTGAGTAAACAATACTTTTCACATAGTTTAATTAAAACAATAATTAAAAAAAATTAAAAAAATTAAACTACTAGTCCAAAGCAGGAGGTTTCTAATTGGATGGGAAGAAGCTGTCAGAAAGCCCTTGTTGCTATTCTTTTTTTTTCTGCCCAACCAATAATCGACTCCCATTTTCATCTACCATTGTAAGCCTCTGACAAAAACACCATTAATGATGAATTGATGATATTATTGATTTTACTAAAATGATTATAATGAAATTAACTTGGACATTTTACTTGCTCGAGGCAACTTCTTGATGAACTCTAAAGCATGCGAAATCACAATGTTAGCCACTTCAATCTCCTCATTTGTAGCATTTTCTTCTACGCAATTATTTGAAGTTTACAACCTTCTATATGTAGACGTCACAATCAAATAAACTTTACATAAACTTACTAAATTTGACATTCCACTTCCACTTGGAACAAAATTCATGTCTTTTGTGAGTGTGTATGTGTGTTAAGAATGAAACAGTACAACTACTAGCATGTAATGTCACTTTCATATCATTCTTACACCAGACACCTATAATTCTAGGATCGCAACGGTTCATCCCTGTCGTCGGCATTCTCGACATTCTGCCTTTCCAACTCATCTCCGTCTCCGGCGTTCTCAACATTCTGTTCTCGACATACATTTCTTTTCTTTTGGTTTCGAACAGAAAGAAAGCAAGAGTTATTGTGTATCATTAGTAGTCCCTACACACCAGGTTCTTGATCAATGGGCCAAAAGTGGTTATCTCCGAGGTCCACCAATCTCTCTCTAAAGTTGATTTTAACTTATATATCAATGAGGGTTTTTATGTCTTTGTTCATCACATCCTCCCACCTTTTTCTTCTGAATTGTGTTTTGTAGGTAGGAAAAGAGGAAACGTTAGACAAGTTTGAGCTTCATGCAAAGATAAAGCTGCTGCCAGATCAATGGACACTTGAATCTGGATTATTGACAGCCGCACTCAAGTTAAAGAGGGAACAATTGAAGGCCAAATTTAAGGATTATATGCAAAAGCTATACGAGTGATTGATTTGATGCACGTGAACCTTTTGTTTAATTGCATAGTAGTTAGGAGGATAGATCATCTGTTTATTGTTTTTTATTTGTTATGCTTAATGGTTCTTTCATACGTGACAATTTGATGTACAACATTCATTATTAAATTTTTATTCACTGTTTTGCCAGAAGGAAACTATTCAACAAAATGAGTTCATTACCTCCCGAAAACTATTTGTCGTCGCCGTTTTTGCACGGGTACACCACTAGTGTGTGTATATATATATATATATATATATATATATACACACACACACGTACACGTTAATTAAGAAAGAAAAGATGAGAGAATGCATGTACGGTTAGCTAAGGTTAAAAATCATTTCTTCTAGGTTAATTTCATTCTTTAGCTCCTCTTGTGTTCTTTTTGTTCAAATCCAAATGAAAAAAATGTATGTCGAGAACAGAATGCTAAGAATGCCGGAGACGGAGATAAGTTGGAGGCGCAGAATGCTGAGAATGCCAACGACGGGGATGAACCGTTGCGAGCCTAGCATTATAGGTGTAGGGTGTAAGAATGATATGAAAATGACATTACATGATAGTAAGTTGTATTGTTTTTGCAAATTAAAGAGGTGTTTAACTTATATTTCAATGATTATGCTGAGCTTTCTATTGGGATAGTAGTAGTGTTTAACTGTTTATGTCTTGATGTAAAAGTGACAGGAAATTTAAAGTATAGGGGTGAAAGTGTAAATAGTTCATTCTAAATTATTATTTTCACGCACAGTGTCATTAACACGTCGCAAAATCTCGATGAAATGATGCTCAGAACAACAATGGCCGCTCTGTTTCACCCCACCACTAAGCTGTACTCTTTACCCCTCAAGGCTTTCGTCTCACACTCGCTTCACAAACCCCGGGGGTTAATAATTCGACAAAGCTACCCTCGAGCTGATAGAACAATCTTATCCATCAACACACTTCGTTCTCTATCATCTACAGCAGTTCCCTAAATTTCGAACGACACAACTTCTGATTTGGGCAGCAGTTACTTGTCTTGCTCAATGACCAATAGCAAGTGCCCTCTCAAAATTACGGTTCTTCTCAATGGTGACGTTGATAGCACTGTTGTACTTCGCCTCCTCCACGTATCCGGACACTCCTGCTCCGCTTTCTACCTTAAAATCTGGTTCAAAGTGCGTACGCTTTTCTTTTGATTGACATTACATTGCATATACGAATAAAATTCAAATTGTAAACTTAATTTTGTTGGTTATCTAAAAATTCAAATTGTAAGTTTTTTTAAATTTGCTCATCTCTTGTCGGATGATACATCTGCTCTAATTCAAAATTTTAACATCGAGTTTTATGTTGGATGATATGATTGAAATGAACAAAAATCTCCTCTCTTATTGGTTTCTTATTTTACTTTTACCTTTCTCCTTGTCTTTGAGCATTTTAAAGTTTGAAACCTATAATTCCTTAGCTAGTTCTGGTACTAAATTCGTTCATAGGAAGATTTCCAGAACTTTTGGTCTGAATGTCAATGGGAAGAGGATTTGAAGTACACAAAAGTTGTTTGCAATCAGGTTTCTTTCTTCACCTTCATATTATCCATCTCATTTTGTCACATCCCGGCCGTCGGCGGAAACGTTCAGCATTTTAAAGTTTGAAACCTATAATAGTAACGTATATACAATACTTAGCATGCGTTTTCCCCCAAAAATATTAGAAAGTGGGGCCGTGAAACTCACCCCGGAAGCGTGATTTTATGTAATCTAAGCAGAAACGGTCAGCGTACGAGGTCGTCGGGGCTCGGGATGCAAGTTGGCTTCAGCAAAGGAGAGAGGAGAAAGGGAAATAGTGTAAGGAATAGCTAAAGTCAGACCTGCTATTTATAGTAAGGATTTTGGACTCTCACGTCGTGAGTTTTATAAGGCTCATGTCGTGAGTCATGCATGCTCATCCCGTAGACTTGCCATTTGCGTCCCTAGCTTCGGAAGGTATCCCTTTGACTCCTCACGACGTGAATCAATCCTTGCTCACGTTGTGAGTTTGGATCTTATCCCCTCGTAGCCTTATCACACCTTCTAGATTCCGAGATGTGGCAAAATGACTCATCACGTCGTGAGTTTTGTGCTCACGTCGTGAGTTCAGTCAGATTAGGGTTTATGACAGCTGAATCTTCGGAAGGTCATAACTTTCACATACGAACTCCGTTTTTGACGTTCTTTATATGCACGTGTAGGTATTTACAAGTACTACAACTCTCTTTTAGACTCCAATAGCTAATTCTAAGTCTATTTTAAATTCCTTTTATTATAGTGTTCAGTTTATCATAACTTCTTCATGCGAAGTCAGATTCAGACGTTCTCTATATTTTTGGAATCGTATGGACGTATACTTTGAGTTATATCATAAAGAAAGTTTATATTTGTATTAGAATTTATCACGAACTACATATCACGTTTATCACATTACTAGTTTAACAACATCACATTACATGATTGGCATAATCACATGTGATTGTCTATTGACCTATTTTGACTGGTGTTACATTCTCCCTCCGTTAGAATAATTTCGTCCTGAAATTTATCTTATGGATGAGGTTTTGTCAAATAGCTGAGGGTATTTTTCTTTCATCTGATCTTCACGTTCCCAAGTAAATTCAGGTCCTCGTAAAGAGTTCCATCGAACTTTCACTATGGGAATATGACTTTGCTTTAATCGTTTGACTTCTCGATCCATGATCTCGACAGGTTCTTCTACAAAGTTTAGTTTTGTATTGACTTGTATCTCTTCGAGAGGTATAACAGGTGTGTCATCGGATAGACATCTTTTGAGATTTGATACGTGAAAAACATCGTGTACATTACTTAACTCTTGAGGCAACTTGAGTTGGTATGCGACAGAACCAATTCTTGCTAGAATTTCAAAAGGTCCTATATACCGTGGATTTGATTTGCCTCATTTCCCGAATCGAATTATGCCTTTCCAAGGATAGACCTTCAACATTACTTTATCTCCAACTTGGAATTCTAAAGGTTTACGTCTTATATCAGCATAGCTCTTTTGACGATCACGTGCAGCCTTTAATTGATCCTTAATTTGCAGGATCTTTTCAGTTGTCTCGTGGATTATTTCTGGTCCGGTACGTAAGGTATCGCCTGTACGTTCTCTGGCGATCTGCGTATCTCCAACCTCTGCCCAACATACTGGGGAACGACATTTTCGCCCATAAAGAGCCTCAAATGGTGCAGCCTTGATGCTGGTGTGATGACTATTGTTGTAGGAAAACTCAATTAACGGTAAATGAGTATCCCACACATTTCCAAAGTCTATTACACAGGCTCGGAGCATATCTTCTAAATTCTGAATGGTTCTCTCACTCTGACCATCAGTCTATGGATGGTAGGTTGTACTCATATCTAGACGTGTTCCTAAGGATTTTTGTAGTGATTGTCAAAATCGTGAAGTGAATCTACTATCTCGGCCAGAAATAATAGAATTTGGAACTCCATGCAATCTGACAATTTCCTTAAGATAAACTCTAGTAAGCTTCTCCATCTTGTCGTTCTCCTTAATTGGTAAGAAATGGGCGGACTTAGTCAATCTATCGACTATTACCCAAATAGTGTCGAACCCACTAGGAGTTTTAGGTAACTTAGTGATGAAGTCCATTGATATCTGCTCCCATTTCCATTCAGGTATTTCCGGTTGTTGAAGTAAACCTGAAGGCTTTTGATGTTCTGCCTTTACTCTAGAACAAGTCAAGCATTTGCTCACATAAGTAGCAATTTCTGCCTTCATGTTTGGCCACCAATAATATACTTTTAAATCTAAGTACATTTTGTCAGAGCCTGGATGTACGGAATATCTGGACTTGTGGACTTCTTCTAAGACCAAGTCCCCGACTCCACCGAACTTAGGCGTCCAAATTCGGTTCATAAAGTGTCGCGTTCCGTCATCTTTTTGTATAAGTTGCTTTTCCATTCCTCGCAAAGCTTCATTCTTGATGTTTTCTTCTTTTAGAGCCTCAAGTTGAGCTTCTCTAATTTGTGCGGTAAAGTTAGAATGGATAGTTAAAGTTAATGCTCGTACCCGACGGGGTTTAATATATTCTTTCCGGATCAAGGCATCTGCTACCACGTTTGCCTTTTCGGGATGATAACGAATATCACATTCGTAATCATTCAACAATTCAACCCATCTTCGTTGTCTCATATTAAGATCTTTTTGGTTGAAGATGTGCTGGAGACTCTTGTGGTCGGTAAAAATAGTACACTTAGTACCGTATAAGTAATGTCTCCAGATTTTTAGTGCAAAAACTACAGGTCCCAATTCAAGATCATGGGTAGTGTAATTATTCTCATGCACCTTAAGTTGTCGTGATGCGTAGGCGATAACTTTTCCTCTTTGCATCAACACACATCCCAATCCTTGATTTGATACGTCGCAGTATACGAAGAAATCTTCTGTCCCATCTGGAAGGGATAGGATTGGTGCACTACACAACATTTGCTTCAGTTTCTGAAAACCAGGTTCTTGTTTGTCTTCCCAGTTGAACTTCGTATCCTTCTGGGTTAGTGTTGTAAGCGGCTTGGCTATTTTGGAGAAATTCTCTATGAATCTACGGTAATAGCCAGCAAGTCCTAGGAATTGACGCACCTCTGTTGGCGTCTTTGGTGCTTCCCAATTCCTGATTGCTTCAACTTTGGATGGTTCAACATGAATTCCTTCGTTTCTAACTACATGGCCTAAAAATTGTACTTCTCTAATCCAAAACTCACATTTGGAGAATTTGGCGTACAACTTTTCTTTTCTTAGTAGTTCCAAGATTATTTGCAGGTGTTGACCATGTTCTTCCTTGGTTCGTGAATATATCAATATATCATCGATAACGATCATGAATTTATCCAAGTATGGTTTGCAAACACGATTCATGAGGTCCATAAACACTGCTTGGGCATTGGTCAATCCAAAAGACATAACTAAGAACTCATAATGACCATAACGAGTTCTAAATG